CCTGCAGTAGTCTAAAATCTCTGAGCTTCTGCTTGAATGTTTCTTGAGTCAGTGGAATTGACACTACCTACCTTCTTGCTATTGTTTGTGTGAATTGTATCATACTTATAACTTCCTTCAGTAGTTTTTTATATTTTTTTCTTCTGGACCAAGGAGACTTTGAGAGTACACATGCACACATATACATGCATATATATTTTCCCATATCTTCGCAAAGTAGCCTGACTTCTCAAACATCCTGTATCTAGCACTTATTTAACTTTTTAAAATATTTTTTCATCTTAGAGCAAATTGTGGTACAGCAGTAGGAGAGCAACCAGAAGTCCATCACAGTTCCAATATACCAAACCAAAGATCTGATATAACCTTTTAAGCAGGGATGGGATTCTACCAGTTTGCATCTATTCGCTGAAACCGGTTGTTTACATTCTAAGCAGTTCGGAGAACCGGTTGTTAGAAGAAATTACCAGTCTAATCCTGTAAGGAAGGCAGGAAGGAAACATTCTGGTGTTGCTTGCAGAAACTGCCTCTCTGTTAACCATTATTACATTCTTGGCAGGACTAGACATCTTAGGAACTTCTCTGGAGTTTTTTTTCCCCTCCTTTGCTGATACTTTGCTTGTGTGGAGTGACCATTCAAAGTTACAATGGCACTGAAAAAAATGACTTATGACCATTTTTCACACTTACGACTGTTGCAGCATCCCCACAGTCACGAGAGGCCAGATGTGTACCTCGATGTGAGTGATGTTGAGTTGGCCACGCCCAGCCAGTAACATGACCACATAGCCATGTCCACCCAGTCACATGACCACCAAGCCACTCCCACCAACTAAGCCATGCCTACAGAACTGGTTGTTAAAAAATTTGAATCCCACCCCTGCTTTTAAGTGTTTCATATGTAAATAACTCACTATCCAACAGAAGACAATATCTTTAGTCCAGGGTTGAACAGTGGAGTTCTTGAGTGTTTTCTGAGTTTGCTTGTAATTATCCAGGAATTTCACTGAGTAGTGAAAGACCTGCAAACAGCCAAGCCCAGAGAGCACCAGGAATAGCTTTGTATTAAAAGTCCAGCAAATCAACGAGAAAGGTTCTGTCTTCCTATTTAAGCTATGGTGATTTAAGACCCTTTTTAAAAAAAATATGGTGGTTATCAAAGTGTATGCTTCCCTAAAATTACAAAGACACAGTTTAGAGACCTAGCCAAGACTAAGATAGATAACAAGTAGGCCATTTAGTGTCCCCTAGATAAGGAGTTTTCAAACTTTTATAGGCCACAGTACATATTAATGTAAAAAAAAACCCCAAACCTTAACCTTCTGATAGAAAATATGACCTCTAGTACATAAAAAATCGCATTCATCTGCATTCAGATGAACTCCCCTCCCCCAGTTTTTTGTCCTTAATCTCTTATGAAAGAATTCTTTGAAGACCGTCTCCATCCTGCTAACTGCACTGGTGTGAGGCTGATATTCTGAAATAAATGGAGGGAAGTTTTGTATAATTCAAACTTAGAAATTTGCTTAAATCTCATTAGGAAATTTGTGTACTCTGCTTGAGCTTCCTGATGGGAAAAAAAGCATGATATATAAGTAGAAAATAATAAAATAAAATAAAATAAATGGATCACCTTCCATCACATTCCTAACATGTGTATAGAATGATAAAAAATTAGATAACTTTTTTTCATAGGAAATTGGGGTACAGGAAAGTGCATTATAGCCCTCATTTCTTTTCTTTTTTTCTAATGCTTAGAATCTATGAGAGAGAGAGGTTATTAGAAGGAGGTTTATTTCTTCCCAGTTGGAGATTTTGGTAGGATCTCTATAATAATATCTACTATTGAAATCAGGTCTGAAGAAGACAACGATCAGCTATTTGGAGTGAAATAAACTATTGAGAGTATAGGAATCTCCAATGGAAACTCCACCAGGTAAAATTGAATGATATGGTTTCCAGATTTTTGGTATAAAAATTTTAAATTAACCCCAAATGTTTCATTTAATTCTAGGCAGGCACCTAGATTTACAAGCTGGTTTGTTATAATTTCCAGATGGTTAAATTGAATACATTTTTGCAGACTTTATTTCCTCCTTATGTTTTCTTCTTCAGAATTGATGAAAAAAAAATTATCTGACAGGCACTGACTCAGTTTATTCTAAGCCAAAATAATTTCATTTACTTGCTTCCTTCTGATTCTTCAATTGCTCCATTGGTACTTGGCTGGCATGAATTCAATGAATATGGGTTGTTAAGGATGTTTAGAGAGCAATTATGGTATAGGTAGATGTGACTGACTAGAAACTGAGCACCTCTGAGTTTTAATTTTTTTCCCGGCTGAGTGACTTTGGACCAGTCGCTCTGTCCCAGCTCATCCCAACTAATTGGGCTCTTGTGGGGAAAATAGTAGGGAGCATTTTATCTGCCACCCAGAGTTATACAAAACAAAGGTGGATAAAAAGTTTGTTCAATATTTTGGACGCAAAGGAGGAAAAGTTGCAAGATACTAGACTCCATGCTTTGATATTTTATATTAAACATTTCAATGTACCTACATATTTTATTTAATTTTCAAAATAATATAGCTGTCCATCTCAAAAAAACAATGGATTCTGAGCAGCTGTTCAGCTTTGAAGCTGTAACTGCTAGATCAGTGATGGGATTCAAATTATTTTACTACCGGTTCTGTGGGCGTGATTTGGTGATTGGCAAGGGAAGGATACTGTAAAATCTACAGTCAGAGTGGTATTGGCCAGTTCTCTGAACGACTCAAAATTTCCACTACTGGTTCTCCAGAACTGGTCAGAACCTGATGAATACCACCTCTGTGCTAGATGGTATTAACTTTGGGTCCTTGGTACTCTTTGAGCTTGGTTGTTTTCTTACAGATGTTTCATTCATGACTAGGTAATGAACATAGACCTAGAACTGATGATGTTACTTATTTGAGTAGTGGCATGTCTGCAAGAAAACAAGCAAGTTCAGAGAGCATCAAGGACCCTACACATCAGTTCTGAGCTATTAATATTCTCTTTTATAGGTACTAGCCTGGCTACTCAGGAGGATATGAATTCATGTGGCAAAATACAGATCCAGCCACCAGATCACTTTCTGGAAATCTTGTGGAGTGAGGTCATTTTGTTCCTCCACACAAAAGGGACAAAGACAGGAAATGACAGAATGTGGGATCATGTCATCATGCAATCTTATGACTTACAATCTTATGAAGTCAGGACACAAGTTTGTAATTGTGGCATAAATAGGATTTTAACAATGTATGTTATTATTTGGGCTCTGTATTATTAGAGTTTCCACTGTAAAGCATATTAAATCTTCCATTGAGATCACATTAAGTCCTTGAATTATTTCCTTTACCTGAACAGAAATCATCTGAATATCGATCATAGGCTGCCTTGCAGTTGCGTTCATCACATTCACAAGTATCTCCATGAATATCTCCCCAATCTCCAGTTGGGTCAACATCATGACATATGCATTCTCCACATACACAGGTTCCTGCAATAGGAAAAGTTGATATATAACAGAATCAAAGAAAAACCAATGGTTTTATATTTAAATGAAATATGAAAAGGCTGGGCAATCTTTTCATAGCCAAATGCCATGAAAATAAGTCTTGCATTAGCCACAAGGGTATGTTAGTGATGCAGTACTCCAAGGAAGGGAGAGATGTATGTGTGTGTGTTAGATGTATGGTAGATAGATAGATAGATAGATAGATAGATAGATAGATAGATAGATAGATAGATAGATAGATAGATAGATAGATA